TCTATGTCTATCCCTCTCTTTCTGACTTATTTCGCTTAACATGATACTTTCCATGTTGTACCATTTGTATGTAAATTTCATGACTTCGTCTTTTCTAACAGCTACATAGTATTCCATTGTGTAAATGTACCAAAGTTTCTTTAACTAATCATCTGTTCTCGGGCACTCAGGTTTTTTCCAGATTCTGGCTGTTGTAAAGAGTGCTGCAAAGAACAAACAAGTGCAGATGTCACTTCGACTATATTTTTTTGCTTCTCTGGGATATATTCCCAGGAGTGGTATTGCTGGGTCAAATGGGAGCTCAATTTCTAATTTTTTGAGGATTGTTTATACTGTTTTCCAAAAGGGCTGAACCAGTCGGCATTCCTACCAGCAGTGAAGGAGGGTCCCTTTCTCGCCATATCTGTGTCAGCACAAGTTGCTTTTATTCTTTTGGGTGTGGGCCAGTCTGTGTGGTGTGAAATGATCTCATTGTTGTTTTGATCTGCATCTCCCTGATGATTAATGATGTAGAGCATTTTCTCATGTGTCTTTTAGCCATTCAGATTTCATCTTTGAGGAAGTTTCTGTTCATTTTGTCGCCCCATTTTTTGATGGGGTTGGATGTTTCTTCTTGTGGAGTTCAACCAGTACTTTGTATATCCTTGATATCAACCCCTTGTCAGATATGTATTCGGTGAATATCCTTTTCCATTCTGTAGTCTGTCTTTGTATTTTGGTCACTGTTTCTTTTGAGGTGCAGAAGCTTCTTAGTTTAAGATAGTCCCATTTGTCTATCTCTGTTTTCACTTGCTTGGTCAGTGGTGTGACATCTTTGAAGATAACATTAGCTTCAATATCATGGAGGGTTTTGCCAACTTTGTCTTCAATGAACTTTATGGATTCCGGTCTGATGTTGAGGTCTTTATTCCATTTTGATCTTACTTTTGTACATGGCATTAGGCAGAGATCTGAGCCCACTTTTTTGCATGTAGCCGTCCAGTTGTGCCAGCAGTTTGTTAAAGAGGCTTTCCTTGCTCCACTTCACTTTTCTTGCTCCCTTATCAAAGATTAGATGATCATATGCTTGGGGGGAGATGTCAGTATATATATTCAACCCTGTTCCATTGGTCTACAGCTCTGCCTTTGTTCCAGTACCATGCTGTTTTGTTGTAGAGTTTGAAGCTAAGGAGGTTGCTTTCTCCCATTTTCTTTTTCCCAAGAATTGCTTTAGCTACTCATGGGGGCTTTTTGTTCCATATAAATTTCAGGAGTGTTTGCTCCATTTCTTTGAAGAATGTGATGGGTATCGTAATAGAGATCACACTGAATTTGTACAGTGCCTTGGGAAGTATTGCCATTTTGACAATGTTAATTCTTCCAATCCATGAACAGGGGATATTTTTCCATTTTCTCGTGTCCTCTTTTATTTCCTGAAGTAGTGTTTTGCAGTTTTTTTGGTACAGGTCCTTGACTTCCTTAGTTAAGCTGATTCCTAGGTACTTGATTTTCTGGGGCACAATTGTGAACGGGATTGTTTTCTTCATGTCACTTTCTTCTTGTTCACTATTTGCGTATAGGAAAGCCATGGATTTTGGGGTATTGATTTTATAGCCTGCCACTTTACTAAACAAGTCTATTGTTTCTAGGAGTTTCTTGGTAGAAGTTTTAGGGTTCTCTAAGTATAATATCATACATCTGCGAATAGTGAGAGCTTGATTTCTTCCTTTCCTACCTGAATGCTCATAATATCTTTTTCTTGCCCAATCACTATTGCAAGTACTTCCAGTACTATATTGAACAGTAGTGGAGAGAGTGGGCATCCTTGTCTCGTCCCTGATCTTAGGGGGAAGGCTCTCAGTTTTTCGCCATTGAGGATGATGCTTGCTGTCAGCTTGTGGTAGATGGCTTTAACTATATTGAGGAAAGTCCCCTCTATCCCCATTTTGGAGAGGGTTTTCATCATAAACGGGTGCTGGATCTTGTCAAATGCTTTCTCTGCATCTATTGATATGATCCTCTTTAAATGTTTGGGAAAATTCGCTTGTGAATCCATCTGGACCTGGGCTTTTGTTTTTGGGAAAAGTTTTGATTACAGTTTCAATTTCCTTGATGTTAATACATCTATTCAGGTACTCTATATCTTCTTGATTCAGCTTTGGGAGATTATAGGAATCCAGGAATTTATCCATTTCTTCTAGGTTCTCTTGTTTCGTGGCATACCGACTTTTAAGATAGTCTCTGATGATCTTTTTAATTTCTTTGGTTTCTGTTGTGATATCCCCATTCTTATTTCTGATTAGATTTATTAGGGTTCTCTCTCTGTTTCTTTGTGAGTGTTGCTAGTGGTTTATCTATCTTATTTATTTTCTCAACGAACCAGTTCTTGGTTTCATTAATCTTTCGGATTGTTTCTTTGGTTTCCATGTCATTGATTTCTGCTCTAAGTTTTATGATCTCTTTCTTTCTGCCTGATTTGGGCTCCTTCTGTTGATCTTTTTCTAAGATCTTGAGCTGTGAAGTCAAGTTGTTTATGTGCATGCTTCCATCCTGAGATATGCTTGCAGAGCTATAATTTTTCCCCTTAATACGGCTTTTCCTGCATCCCATATGTTCTGGTAGCTTGTGTCTTCATTCTTATTTGTTTTCAAGTATCTTTTGATTTCTTCCTTGACTTCCTTTCTGATCCACTCGTTGTTCAACATTGAGTTGTTTAATTTCCTGATGTTTGATTTGCTTCTCCGTGTCTGTGTGTGATTCACTTCTATTCTCAGTATATCGTGGTGTGAAAAGATTGCTGATACTATTTCTATCTTCCTGATTCTATTGAGTTATTTTTTGTGGCCTAGGACATGGTCTATTTTGGAAAATGTTCCGTGCGCACTGGAGAAGAATGTGTATTCTTTCTTTTTTGCGGGTGTAAAGCCCTGTATAGGTGTATAAGCCCTTTCTCTTCTATTCTTTCAAAGTCAGTGTTTCCTTGCTGAGTTTTGTTGATCTATCCAGAAGTGATAAGGTGATGTTGAAATCTCCAGCTATTATTGTGTTGCTAGAAATGTCCTCCTTCAAATATATTAGCAATTGTTTTAAATATTTAGCTGTTCCCTCATTAGGTGCATATACATTTAGGAGTGTGATTTCTTCCTGTTGTACATATCCCTTGATGAAGAGAAAATAGCCTTTGCTGTCCCTTCTAATCTTTTTCAACCTAAAGTTAATGTTGTCAGTTACTAGTATGGCCACCCCAGCTTTTTTGAGGGAGCTGTTTGCAGGATTGTTTTCCATCCTTTCACTTTGAGTCTGTGTTTGCTCTGACTATTGAGATGAGTTTCTTGTAGGCAGCAGAATATTGGGTTCAGTCTCTGAATCCATTTTGCCACTCTGTGTCTCTTAATTGGTGAATTTAGACCATTGACTTGAGAGAGATTATTGTTATGGGGTTTTGTGTCATCTTTCTTTGAGGATCTGTTGTGCTTGTAGGGTTTGTCTTGTCTTATAGTAGCCCCTTTAGTCCTTCTTTTAGGTTTGGTTTTGAGTCTATGAAGTTCCTGAGCTGCTGTTTATCTAGAATATAGTGCACCGTTCCTTTGATTTTGAGTGAGAGTTCAGTTGGATAGAGTATTCTTGGTGAAGCATTCATTTCAGTGAGTTTTTTCACTATATCCTGCCATTGCCTTCGGGCTTGGAGGGTTTCCTCTGATAGGTCTGCTGTGAATCAAAGGGGTGCTCCTTTGTATGTGATTTTCTTCTTTGACCTTGCTGCTTGCAGTATTGTATCTCTATCGGTAGCATTGATCATTCTAACTATGATATGTCTTAGAGTTTTTTTGTTAGGGTCTCTTTTAGCTGGCATTCTTCGGACTCCTTGAACCTGAATGGCTTCATAGTTACAAAGCTTTCATGTTTGAGCTTCGATCATGCAATCATCAAACACCCATCCCATCACCAGTGCCTATTTTCCATCACCAAAATCCCCAGTATCCGCCCCCCCCCCCATTCCACCCCTTCAGGTGTGGCAGATGATTTGCACAATACACTCTCTCTATTTTGGTTACATTTGATATTTCGACACCAGTCCCACCACCACTGAAACCTGCCGAAAAGGCAATACAAGACAACTAGTTTTGTATTGCTTGTTATGGATAAAATATAATGTCGCGCTGCCACGAGAGAGGCCATGTGCTCTAGATATTCTAAATTTTTAATAATTAGGGTCTGGAGAGATCTCTGCGGGGAGCTGCTTAGTTCCGAGATTCGTGTGCGTGCCTCTGGATCATGGCCCTGTGGGAGCTTAAGTAGCCGGTGGCTGTTTGTGGGCATTATCTGGGGCAGAGTGGGGAGAGTGGCGAAGGAGAAGGGCCGGCTCCACCCCACCCTGTCCCGTGAGGCCTGGCGTTTGCCTACACTGCCACCATGTACCTGGCCAGCTTTGCTTTCTTATCTAATAATGCATTGTCAGATTCGATATCACGAGTATTTACTTTTGTGCTTTCTTTGTGATTTTTCTTCTTGTAGTCTTGTTTGTGTATTTTGAGTTAATTTTTGTTTACGGTATGAGGTAGGGTTCCAACTTCATTTTTTCAATAGGGATATTCTGGGGTGTGTGTGTGCATGCGTGCACGTGTGCATGTGTGTGTTTGTGTGTATTGTGAGGGGTTGTTGGACCACATCTGACTGTGCACAGGATTTCCTCCTGGCTCTGCACTCAAGGAACCATGCACTCAAGGAACCACTCCTGCCAGTGCTTGGAGTACCAAATGTGGTGCCAGGGATAGAATCTGGGTCAGAGGGACACAGGCAAGTGTCTTACTGTTATTTTGCTTCTCAGGACTGAAAGTTTTCTTTCTGGACTCTCCATTTTTCTCCAGCAGCGATTTCTTGTTTTTGATATATTGTGTGCTAGATTAAACTTGCTTTCATGTGTTTTATGGTTCTGGATCCGAACTCCCCTGGGGAGACTGAGGCATAGTCAGGCACACAGTCAGGGGCCCACATTTTTAAAAGCAAGTAAATGCATGACCATGTCCTTTTCCATGAAAAGTCAACAGAATATATTTGAAACTGCAAAAATGAGTTTTGACAAAGGGTGATGTAATTCTCACATAAACGGTTGTTTTTGTTGTCCACAACATGCTCTTTGTCACTGTTCTCTTTGGGGGATCATTGACTGTGACTCAAACTGTGAGTCAGGAAGCAGCATATCCCATGGTGTTAAATTAAAAGAGTGATAAAACTTAACAAGTGCAGGGACCTGATTAATGGGAAACCTATGGGACTGAACTAGATTTTTGGGGAGGTTGGTCCTCAAGTGGTGCTGAGGGGACTTTGGGGACATGTGGTACCGGGGATCAAACCTGGGATAGATGCATGTGAAGCATGTGCCCTGACCCCTGTATGATCTCCCTGGATCTTGTAGTAACTTTTAAAAATGGGCATATACTTTTGCAGGTATACTTGGACTTGGAAGACACTTTTCCTGTATCCTGAAATGACTTTAGTTGACATTGGGCATCATGTTAAGGTAATAGCCCCTTTTGATAATTTTATCAGTGTATCTGGTAACCCAACTATATTTACCAACCTTACTTATTTGTTTTTGGCATCATAAATGTGAAAACATAGTGAGAGGATCAAACACTAGAGAGTGGTGATACAAGTGAGATAGTGTCTTTACCAAGGGATTATAATATTTAAGTGACTTTTGGCATTTGAACTGGAAGAGATGGTTTTATTGATTTTTTTTTAATGTAGGAGTACTACTATTTATTCAGCCTCTGATAAAGCTGACTGAAGGGGGCATGAACCTCACATTACCTTAAATTTTTTTTATTTGTGTATCTGTGAGATAGACCATTACAAAGCTGTTCATAATTGGGTTTCAGTCATACAATGATCCAATACCCATCCCTCCACCAGTGTACATTTCCCACCACCAATGTCCCCTGTTTCCCTCACACCATCCCCTAATACCCCACCCCCCATCCCTACCCTTCCTCTATGAGAGGCACTTTCCTTCTTACTCTCTCCTTTTCCTTTGTGCATTGTGGTTTACAATACAGGTACTAAGAGTTCATTGTGTTTGTTCAAGGCATTAAGTATTTTTATGGGAATGATAAGGCTGGAGTAGCTTTTTTAACTTTGGGGTATGGGTGTGACTGCCAAAGCTTCTGGAAGTAGAGGGAGGTGGGGAGAGGTAGTCCATTCTCCATCCCAATCCTGAAAAAGCCTGGAGATTTCAATCACAAAACCCGCACACCAGAATTTTCAGCCAATTATGTCTTGGTGATGTCCATCCAGAAATAGTGGAGTCAGGCTGGGGGTATGGAAGTGATTTTGGATTGTGGAAGCAAGCGGCTGCTGGGGACTCTTTGCCGGGCACCAGGCTAACCCATCACCCCTCTTATTTACCCTGGTCTGTTCAATCTTACATCAATCTGAAATTAACTGTGGCTTTGCTTTTGATCTTGTTTGAGATTTATGGGTCCCTGAAGCAAGGCTGGTAGAAGAGCTTACATGATGGTGCTGGAGTTGGTTTGTGGGGGTGACAGCCATTGCTTCTAGAAGTATAGGGAATTAGGGGGAGGATATCCCATCTTAAATCTGAGAAAGTCTGGAGATTTCAGTTACAAAACGTGCATGTCCAAAATTTCAACAGGTTAATATCTCCGTGAGGTCTGTCTTGAGACAGTGGAGTCCATTCAGGGGCATGTGGCGATTTTGTAGTGTGGAAGCAAGCAACTGCCAGGGGCTTTTTTTGGGTGGGCACCAGGCTAACCTGTGCTCCCTCTGATTAACCATGGTCTGTTTAGCCATGTGCGGGTCTGTTTAGCCAAGACCTTTCGGCTGTTTAATTTCTTGGGAAACTTGGTCCCAAGTTGTTGGGGTCCAGCCAGAGTCACAGTGGCAATTTTGGGGTATCAGAAGGCTTTGTTTCTTTTTGTATCACACGTGGTGGCTTCTTTTGGCGTTATATGTGGGATCACCCCTAGTGGTACTTAGGGGACCTTGGGTGCCAGGGCTTCAACCTGAACCTCCCACTTGCAAACATGTGCCAAGTCCTTTATGTTCCTGTTACTGAACTTCAGAGCTTCTAGTGTGGGTGCAAAATACTAAGAAAAGCATTAAATTCAGGACCTTAATAGCAGAGACAGTAATATAACTTTTCTGTCTATCAAATTCAGTGGCTTTCAAAGATAATTTTAGAATAAACTATCTTGATTTATTATTAAAAATACCAATTATGAAAATTTTGGACAAAGTGACCTTTTATTTTCCCATCTGATTCCTTTTTTTCTGCCTTCCTTTAAATGTTGATATTTTCAATCCCAGGCCTTCATTTTTTCCCTTCCTGTCTTCATTTACATGTATTCCAAAGATTGCCAAATATTTATGTATATTTCTCTTCTAATTCCTGGGCTATTTCCAGCTATTTGGATGTGCCAAAAAAGTTTCAAAGTATGGCTGATAGATTGGATGTGCATGTTAGTATTTCAAGACTTATTATAGATCTACTCAATAAAGGTCATTTAAATGAATGAATTTGGGGACCATTTAAAAATGGGAAGAAGGAAAGACTATTAGAGGTCAGGGAGAATAACAGAATAGCTTAATCCTGTCTTTAGAGAGCAGAGATGACTGTCATGAAAGTTTTTTGTTTAAAATCTAGTACAGTTGAAGTGCAAAGTTGGTTAGGTGGATGGAGAACTTGGAGAAGAGGTAGGAAGAATCTACTTCAAACACAGTAGCATTATATATTTCTATTTTTTTATTTTTAAAAAATGTAATGTTAAAGGGCTGGAGCGATAGCACAGTGGGTAGGGCGTTTGCCTTGCACACAGCCAACATGGCCGACCCGAGTTCGATTCCTCCGCCCCTCTCGGAGAGCCCGGCAAGCTACCGAGAGTATTCGATATGCCAGACACAGTAACAACAAAGTCTCCAATGGAGACGTTACTGGGCCCGCTCGAGCAAATCGATGATCAACGGGAGGGCCTTTACTTTACTTTACTTTAAAGTTGCAAAGTTGTTAATGATTGGGTTTCTGTCATACAGTGTTCCAACACCCATCCCTTCCATCATCAGTGTGCCCAATTTCCCTGCACCCTATAGCCTGTCTTAAAGCAGGCAATATTACTCTTTCTCTCTCTTTCTCTCTATCTCCCTCCCTCCCCCATTTTGGGCATTATGGTTTGCAGTACAGATTCTAAAAGGTTATTAGATATATTCCTTACCTCAGTGCTTGTCCAGAGTGATCATTTCCAACTCTCATTGTTATAGTGGTCTATTTTCTGTCTTAGCTGCCCTCCCTCACTTCCACTTGTGGCAAGTTTCTGACCATGGACCAGTTCTTCTGGCCCTTGTTTCTACTGTGCTTGGGCATTAGTTTCATACTATGTACTTTTATATCCCTCAAATGAGTGCAATCTTTCTATGTCTGTCCCTCTACCTCTGACTAATTTCACTCAGTATCATACTGTCCATGTTCATTCATTTATAAGTAACCTCCATGACTTAATATTTCCTGGAGGCTGCAAAGTATTCCATTATATAGATATACCATAATTTCTTTATCCAGTCATTTGTTCTTGGGCACTTGGGTTGTTTCCAGATTCTGGCTATTGTAAATAGTGCTGCAATGAACATAGAAGTGTAGATGACTTTTCTGCATTGTGTTTTTGGGCCTGTAGTGTGTATTTCCTGGAATGGTATTGAGTGGAGTGCCTATATTGTTTTTCCAAAAGGCTGACCAATCAGCATTCCCACAAATAATGGAGAAGAATCCCTTTCTCCTTGAATCTAGTACTGGTTGCTCTTATTCTTTTTTATGTGTGCCAGTCTCTGTGGTGTGAGGTGATATAGCATTGCTGCTTTTATACATATCTACCTGATGATTAACATATATTGCTAATTTTTATATGCCTTTTGACTATTTGTATTTCTTCTTTGAGGAAGTTTCTGTTCATTCTTCTTCCCATTTTGTGATGGGGTTGAACTTTTTTTCTTGTAAAGTTCTACCAGTGACTTATATATCTTTGATATTAACCCCTTCCCAGGTGGGAATTGGGTAAAGAACTTTTCCCATTCTCTAGGCTGTCTTTGTGTCTTGGTCACCTTTTTCTTGAAGTGTCTTAATTTAATGTAGTCCCATTTGTTTATCTTTGCTTCAACCTGCTTGGTCAATGGTGTTTTATCTTTGAAGATGCCTTTAGCTTCAATGTCATGGAGAGTTCTGACTGACTGTTTTTCTCTATGTGCCTTATGGATTCAGATATGATATTGTGGTCTTATACCATTGTGATTTTATAGCATTGTGATCTGACTTTTGTACATGCATTATATATTTCTTACAATATTATTATTATTAACATATTACTAATACTATTCTTTTAAGGTGGCAGTGTTGGGGGGAGTTTATTTATTTATTTATTTTATTATTATTATTTTTTTAATATAGGAGTACATCTATCTATTCAGCCATTAGCTTAGCTGATTGAATTGGGCATGAACTCCACCTTACTTTTTAAAATTTTTTTTTATAATTTTATTTATTGAATCACGGTGAGAGCAGTTACAAAGCTTTCGGGTTTAAGTCTCGGTCATACAATGAAACACCCATACCTTCACCAGTGCTCATTCTCCACCACCCAAAATCCCAGCATACCCCCATCCCAGACCCTCCTCCTACCTATGGGGCAGCTGATTTCCACATTACTCTCTCTCTACTTTGATTACATTCAATATTTTGACACCTCATTATTTGGGATTTCACCCCAACACTCAGATCTGCTGAAAAGGCAACAGTAGACAATTTGTTTTCTGTTTCTGGTTATGAATAACATATGGTGTCACGTGACTGTAGTAGTAGCTGCGCGATTTTAGAATTCCGAAGTTTTAACAATTAAATCTGGAGGGATTTTTGCCAAAACCTGCTGGGTTCTGAGATTTGTTCCTGAGTCTCTGTGATCATGGCTGTTAAGCAGCTTGACCAGGAGCCAGAAAGGCTGCTCATGGGCAGTGACTTGGGGTTTTGTTGGGACGAGGAGGATAGGGCCGGCTCTACCCCCATCCCGTGAGGCCCTGCATGTCTTGTCATTGAGGGCCCAAACCTGACTGCCCAATGGCCTTTGGAGGATGGCGGCCACTGAAGGGGGGGGGAGTTTTTAAAAATTGAATTACCATGAGATACAGTTACAAAGCTGTTCTTGATCAGGTTTCAGCCATACAATGTTCTAGCATCCATCCCTCCACCAGTGTACATTTCTCACCACCACTTATTTCCTTCCCAACTCTTCCACCTCCACCCTCAGCCTGTCTCTATGGCAGGCACTGTCCACCCTCTCTCTCTCTCTCCCTTTATCTCCCTTCTCCTCCTCCGATTGGGCATTATCGTTTGCAATTCAGATACTGAGAGGTTATCATGTTTATTCCCTTACCTACTTTCAGCATGCAGTTCTAATCCACTGCTATTGTTGCAGAATTTGCTCTGAATAGGCCTCCCTAAATATGTCACTTTGGAATGTG